ATTTACGCATTCAAATTAGATGTTTTATATAAATATGATCTATAAACTTTTATCACAAAAAATGAAACTTAAAAGTCTGCTGGTAAATACAATAGACTAATTTATAAATATATAGAGGAGACAGACTTCAATCGTTTGGTAGATAGTTTAAAGAAAAGGGCATTCTTGGCAAAATTTTTAAAATTGGCAAGGAAAATTATAGAAAAACTGAATATATGTTTGTTTGGTACTTACATATTCATCAATCAGTTTTTCCACTCAATAAACAAAAACCAGTTGTAAGCTAAATAAAAATATCGGCATGCCATATTGGCTGTCTTAAATATCGTGTTTTAATTGCGATTCAAAAATCAATCACGTATAAATATATTAAGGTTTTTCCCCCGATTTAAAATATTTTTGAATATTATGATTTTATCATCTTTATATATATTATTTGTTCCTTTCCATTTATAAGTAAAATCAATATTTTGAATCAATTATATTTTCAAAAATTTGATATGAATCTGAATCTCATATTAAGAAGCAGTCCTAATCATGAAGTTTACCATTTAGACATGTAATGCTTAAAATAGTATACATTTTAGTTTAATCTTCAATCCGTTTAGTAAACAATATAAATAAAAAAGTTAAGAGTAAAATATGAAAATTACTAAAAATATCAAGATTCAAGATAAAACGAAGAATCTATAACACAAGAGCGTTTATAATAAAAAAATTAAAAAAACGGAATATATATTTTAAAATAATTTGTAAAAGAAAAATTTGTGAAAATTTATTTTTTAAATAAGTATTATATATTTTAAAAAACTATTACTATTTTTATTATGTTTCAAAATATGAAACTGGATGTCTGTTGTAGATTTGATACCTTGATTATTTAGTAGCGATTACCAAATAACGAAGTCAAATAGACTTGCGCGACTTTAGAAAATGTGAAATAAGATTGGTTAATGTTAATTGAAAACGATTATAATAGCTGATTTTTTACTCTCAAGTGTTAAGGTTGAGCGATTGTTTAGTAAAATAATAAGTGTGCTTTAATAATTGAAAGTAGAAAAGGTCAAATGTTGATCATATACAAATCATAGCGTATTTGTGAAGCTTCCAGTTTTTTAATTTTATTTGTACAATTCCAAATTTTTTATGTGAAAATATAATTATAAAATGTACTCTGTATAGTATGGTTTATTAAATTTTTTCAAGCTCTTTTCCAATAGGAGAAATTTCTGGTTGGGGGGAAGGAGTTTGAATTGAACTCCAACACCCCTCTCCTTGTCTACGAAAGTGGTTTTATAACATAAATTGTAAATAAGATATTAAAAGCAGAGTTGTTAAAGGATCGAATCAAAAGATCACCGATCTTGGATTCAATCCTAAATTTGTCAATTTTCCCGGATTTATGATCCTGACTTAAATTGAGGATCGTGTTTGAGATCATATTTTTTAACATTCGATCCTGATTTTAAAAAGTAATTTTTTACTTAAAAAGCGTTAAATAAAATAAAAATTAAATTAAAATTTTTTAAAAAAATATCTATCTACATCATATTAATCAACTTCCATTCCAACATATTTTATATTTCAACAATTTCCTATCTAGAACGAGATTTAGAGCCAACAAGTTTTATTTATCTAATTATATTATATATAATATAAATAAATTCTAGGTTTTAATAATGTCCTCCATTATAGATTTAGTAGATAATATATCTAGTATTGATGTCCACAGCAGATATATGTGAGAATCTTTTACCATTTCATAATTTACATAAGTATTTTACTTTACGTAAAACAGATGGAAGTAACTATACAATGATCAGTGCAAAATGTTATTTATGTAAGAACAAAATATATTCTTCAAGGATTAGTAGTTCAAACCTCAAAGTCTAAATATAATATTAAATTTAATCAATATTTATGATATGACCATATAAATACCACACATATGATGGGCCAGGCCTAACTATTAAATTTGAAAGTGCTAAGTCTTGCAGATACCTGATTTATTTGAATGAACACTTATTTAATAATAAATTAATTGTCATTTCTTAATATAGATTTCCTTCACTGTATGATGACAGTAACATATTGGCAGCAATAATTCACCCAAAATTGCCTTATATTATTCTGCCACAAAATCTGTTGGTAAAACAGAGGTTAATTGCCTATTTGGAAAATATGCAAGATCAATGCAGATGCATCTAATGAATGTATGGATGAAATAGATACTTTTTGGGAAAATTCTTCACAAAATGCTCGTTCTATTAATAATTTTTATATCCAAATGATGATTCAATGAATATTTTTAATAGTTATGTTAATTTTAAAAAAATATTTATCGAACTAACACATCTTGGAGCGCTAACATGTGCTTAATGAAAGGCGTGGAATTTAAATGATAATAACTTAGAAAATTTTTTATTATTAAAGGTTAATTTTAATTATAAATAAATATATTCTAATCTATATTATATTATTCTACGATAAATTTATTTTTATATTATTTAATTTTGCATCGATCAGAAATTTCCTTCAGAAATTAATAAGAAAAGGATCGAGATCCTTTTAAAAAAAAAGGGTCGATCCTCTTTTTTTGAAAAGATCGTAATCGGGATTCGATCTTTTTAAAAGGAACGATTAACAAGCCTGATTAAAAGTAAACTTTAGCTTGAGGCAACTAAAAATTTTCTAATGCCCTTGTGGAAATAAGGATAAGGAAGAATATTATATTTAAAATAGCGTATAACTCATATTGGAATTTTTCTTAAAATATATATATGTGGAATGAATTTACCTATGAATATTATTAGCCTTGCGACTAGTTATGGCTAGTTTTTGCCTCAAGGCTTTAAGAGGGTCTTCAGTAAGTTTACGAATATGAAAGCCAATTTTTTTTAAAAAGGGTAATGCTAGATTAGTATTTAAGATAGTGCAAATTATCGGAATTCAGAATTTTTAATCGCTTTTACTCAAGGATGTTCAGTTTGAAGGAGAAAGCCAATGGATCAATGCACGAGTAATTCCAGAGGAGGAATTAGCTCCTCTTTCTAGGAATTTGAGAAATTCCATCACGATGTTTCGCATTAGATCTGAAAGACCTGAAGGTTCTAGATTAGATGGAATAGTCCTTGGAATTAACTACATAAATTATGTCTAACAATATGACCTGTACAAGAACGAGAATGAAGGCTATGTCTTCTATTTCCCACAACAGTAGAACTGCAACTGGAGCAAGTGTGAGGTTGGGTTATTAAGCAGCTTAAACAAATGCGAAAAAGACGAGTTCATTGGTTTAATTGTAAGTGACCAGAGCTATTTAGCAGAGAATAATATCAATAAAGGAGTGATTCAATGCAGTTTGCAAATATAGGTATATCCTAATCCTTCTACCTATTCGTTTCCGAAAAAGGTGATCAACCATAATTTGAGACTTCAAATCGATAATGGTCTTACCATTATCGAAAGGATCAGGTTTTATAAAATTGGAATTTACTATTTTTCTAATTAAAGGGCAAGATTGGAAAGAGATATATGTAATCCACCATTATTGGTATGTAAAGAAGCTTGAAAAATTTTGAATTATATCCATTATTTTAAAAAACTTATTAATTTTCTTTCAAATTCTTAGTGATATATTGTATATAATTTTGGAAGGTAGTTGGAAGAGGAGGGGAGGGGGGTAGGGGGAGATTTACTATAAGCAAAAATGTAAATTGTGCCAACAGGCCAATTTGCGATGCTCCTTCCGTCCATGCGCCTGATGCTAACATAGCAAGTGAAAATTATGAACTAAGAAATTTCCCAATTATTTTATACAAAGATGAGAGTTTTGTAAGACAATAAAAAATATTTTATGCTTACATTGTTTGTAATTATAGAATACTAAAGGCAGCAAATTTTAACCAATAATTTTAATTATAGAAATATTCAGATCGTTCACAAGATCATGGAAAACTTTGAGCCTATTAAGACGACTTTGAAAAAGCTTAAGGTTTTAGAGGAAGGAAATACGATTTAAAAAATTAACATTAGAAAAATTAGTAAATAATCAAAATGATTTAATAAGAGACGTTTTTAAAATTTAAATTTTTATTCTGCTTTTTTTAGAATCCAATAAAAATTTATATTCAAATTAAAAATTTTGATTAAAAAAATAAAATGTAATCTTTTTATAAATCTTTTAAGGGAAGTTGGTAATTCCTAATTTCATGAAAAAAAAATTAATATATATTACATAAATTTTTAAATATAATTTTCGTATACATAAAATATATAAAGATATACAATAAATTTTTTAAAAATATATATAATAAACTAAATTTGACGGGAATATTTTAATCCCATATAAATCTGAAATAAAATTAAAGGCGCTGGGGCACGTTGAATCAGTAGTCATTGTTTTATAAAAACTATTATATATTTTAAATAAAATTTAACTATTGATGAAAATAATAATTTGAACAATATTACAAGTAAATTTGGTTGTCAGAGCAATTGGATAATGTATATATTTTTTGTTAAAAACTAAAAATAATTTTCTTTATAATGATTGTGCTTAATTTACTTAAAAAAATGTAAAATGAACATTTAGAATAGCTTTAGTATTTATACCCGCTTGAGAGATAAAGAATGTGTACATTTTTGATGCTTTTTATATCGTTATGGAACAAGTTATTATTTTTTTAAAACATAATATAATAAAAAAAACTAATCTCAATTATCTTATATTTTGTATAATATATATCTTCATAATGTGGATTATCACAGAAAGAAAAGCAATGAAAAGATTATATATGATAGTGCAATATATTATATAATAATAACGGAGATATTTTTTGTTTGTTTAAAAATTATTACGAATTTCACATCAAATGAAATTTTGACCAAAAATATTTAAGTGGAAATTTTTTAAAAAAAAATGAGAACTAAATCTATATTATCAGAATATAAATTTTACATTTTTAAAGAAAATATATCTCTTTTAAAGCAATAATATATTATTTTATCGTTGTTTTCAAATCTTCAAAAGTAAATAATTATTTATGATTTTGCATTGAGAAATATTACATCAACAATATTTTTTTAAAAATATTTAAATTTAAAAAAATAATAAATAATATATAAGTATAATATAAGTAATGTATATAGTATTGACCCGTGATATATATTTTTGTATTTCTAGTATCCGTACTAATTTGATGATATTTAGTTTAGTAACCATTGGCATAATTATTCACTGGAATCAGTTGAGGCTAATATTGTATTAAAAAATATATAAATGTAGAATTACAGAATCATATGATAAATATCTGTAAGATTATGAATATAAAATTTAAAAGAAAACATCTTATATAATATAATTTTATCAAAAACATTCTAAAATTAAAGTTTTGATAAACATCTATAAAAATAAGGGGTTCAAATTAAAACAAAATATGTTGTGTGAAATTTTTTTTAATTCAGTTCAGCTGATTCAATAAATAGATTTAGTAAAAGGTAGAAGATTTATATGTTAAATATTATAGCTATCAAAATTATCTTATAATAAAAAATTACTATGAAGAAAAACACTGTATTGTTGTAACGTTAGTTGGTAAACTTTCAAATAAAAATTAGAATCTTCTAACCAATCAAAAAGCTAATAACCCACTAAGGGTCCTACCCAATACCCCAAAAGGGTTTTGAAATCTTCAATCAAAGAAAAAATTATCAGTTTGCAAATAGAAAAACTCATTGTTTTTCTTGAAAAACATAAAAAATTGAAATTTTATTATTTAATTTTTGAAGTGAAGGAATATATAGAGAAATATAGACTTTTTAAATTAAAAATGTGTAAATTTACGAGTGTTTTCAAACAGCATTATAAATGTTGAAAGTTATTTTTGCCAATTCAATACATATTATTATTTCTTAAAAACCTCTAAAGAATTCGTCATCATGTAAGGGGGAGGTCCGGCATTCAAAAATAAACTTTCTGCAAGATCAGATACACTTTCTTCACCACTTCCGCCTTCTCCTAATTCATCATCACAATCTTCGGCATGATAAACGGGCGATGAACGATTATAAATAAGGGATGGCTTATTTTTGTTATTATTCACAATAATATCCTTGAGGGAGAAATCAAAATGATTCACAGGTAGTGGGCCTGCCATCAATGGAGCCGCTGCAGCAGTAAACACTATTATTGATTATTTAATTATGTAATTTTGAATTATATTTCTTGTAAACATTTTATTAGCGATAAATATATTAAAACTAAGTGCCTCCTTATCGTTTGCATTATATTTGTTTGCTAATTTTTTCCAATTGAAGGTCATAATTTTTATATTATTTTGTAATTTTTTTTGCATGTGTAGTGTTGATAAATTTCTAGCCAAGTCGACTTAGCTGCAAATGGGGTTTGGAACCTGGCCCAAGTCAATGAAAGAGCCATATAAGTCGACCCATTGGGTTTTCTCGATTATTTGATACATAAAAAAGTTGTGGCTAATATGTTTAAGACGAGTTAAACAATTTATATCAGAAATAATTCTTTTTACTAATTTATTTTGAACTTACAATTAGCATTATAAAAATTTAACTGACCAGCAGGTCGGCTCATGTCTGAGTTAGTATTTTTGATACTATCTAAGGTTTGAAGTCATAAGATACTCATATTTTAGTAGTGTTGTTAAACGGCTTATTTTGAGCCCATTTTTAAAATCGGCTAGCTTAATATTTTATTAGGATAATTTTATGCAAGCCTTAAGATTGTGTTCATAGGTGGCATAACTGTTTGAACATCTATTAACGAAATCTAGAGGTTTAATTGAGTTAGCCGTTTTTTAAATCGGCTCAAATCGAGCCGTTTAACAACACTATATTTTAGCAATACTACACATGTGTTTTCCATTCTTATTAATTTTAATACTCCAGTTTTAATTGAGACCTGCACACAAGTCGGGCCATATTTTGATTTTTTTTAATAGGCTGGGCCTGTAATTTATTTAAAAAATACCCAAGCTGGGTCAGGCCGGAAATTTTTTTTAAAAAAATACCCATGCCGAGCCGTATATTTTAAATCGCCATTATTAGCTATAAAAATTAAAAATAAATATAATATATTTTTTAAAAAAATCCGTGCCAGGTAGAGGTCTGAAAATTTATTTTTAAAAAAAATCCGAGCTGGGCTGTGCAAAAGGTGTCACTGCAGGTCTCTGAATTATATAGGTACAAGTTTTAAAATAATATTATTTCTATTTCAGAAAATATTTAAAGATACCTTTAATCTTTAATCACTATGACAGCTAATTTTAGAAAAGAAATAAAATATGCATTTATTACAGGGTTGTGCATTTGACTGGTCAAATCAAATTTTTTTAGACAATATAACCTTATTTTATATATAATAGTAAAAAATAAATTTATGCAATATTAAATTATATTCTAAATTCTATAATTAATGTTTTGCTCTCCGTGGCGCTTGTACTGATTTATATCAATATTAAAATATTTTTAATCAATTTTAGGTTGATATACCCTACCATTTTCCTGTTGTCGAGAAAATCGATATTAGAGATCTGCAAAAGTAGGCCCGGCCTGTACCCGGCCCAAACGGGCTTTGTGCCAGGCCTAATATTTTTTTTAAATCGAGCCGGGCCAGGTCTTTAATTTTTTTAAAATATATCTAAGTTTAACAATTTTATGTTGAATATTTTAGGTAAAATAAAAATATGTGATTTTATTTATAAAGTAGACGCCATATAACATATATCGTTTATTTTGAGTAATTATAAGAATTAATTTCTATATTTAAATAAATTCGAGACTGGCCAGCGAAATTTTTTAAAAAATTTTGGGTTCGGGCAGGGCTTGAAAAATTTCGTCCGATGCAGATCACTAATCGATATATTTTCTTGGTATGAATATTACCCCAAATCTTCAACATTCTACTGAAAAAGAAGTATAATTAGGAAAGTTAGTAAAATATTTGACAATTCTATTAATGTTCAAGGTAGATAAATCTTATTCCAACAACTCGAGGTCAAAATCGGATTGTTTTTTATAAAAGTTACTGCTTTCCACATATTTTGGCTATTAAATATACCGCAGCTTTTATTTTTGAAATTTATTTTACTTAAAATAGTTGATTATTAACATCTTGTAAAATGCCTAATTCTTATTTTATATCACGCTTCATCAAACTCACTACTACTAAGATGCTACCCTTACATTGAGAACCCAATAAATAATCAGCAGTGTGAGCTGAGCATATGTATTTTGATTGTTTTTTCTTTGCAAACGTATTTTCCAAATTAAGCATCGTTTTTTACGTGGGCCAAAGCATATTTATCCCTTTACAATTACAACAAGATAGCGATATGTTAAAGAATAATTTAAAATTTTTCGTCCAAAATATTTCTTCATTTAATATATTATTGGTAATTTCTTTTGCAAATATCCAACTTCTTCAACAGCTGCTTACATATTTCTATTTGCTCCTTACATTTTATTGACGATGCCCATATTGTTTGGGTAATTGTACATAATGTAATATAAATTGTAGTAATTTTCTCAAACCATGCTTTAGTTTTAGAAAAATATTATATTTATTTATATATTGATATCCAATCAAATTAATAATGAGAAACTTTTATTTTTATATTTTGAAATGAAATTCTAATATTTTAATATAAAATTTGTATTAAATCGATGCCTTTATGATTGATACAAACATATTTTTAAATAAATTGTAACCTAATTAGATTATGCTTTAAATATATATTAATTAATTAAATCAATATAATTATTCATTATATTTTATAGATTTGACCAGCTCAAATACTCCTTCGATCAATTGGCCGACTTGCCAACCCTGATTTATTATAATTAATAAAGGATTTATTAACTTCTAGCATGAGGATAATTTAAATGAGTCGGTGACAATAGATCTGTTGGGATATTGTTATTGGTTATAATTGGGGATAAGATATTAGTCCCATGATTAAGGAAGTTGTGTTGAAAAGTGGTGAAGGCTAGATATTTATATTTATTGTTGTAATAAAATTAAAAAATATACATAATAAATTGCAATATGAAGCATTATTTTATGAAGTATATTTTATGATCTCAGGTCAGAAGTCAGGACCCTTTTTGATCCCTATTTGTGGTTTTAGATATTTTTAGATCTTGTTGGCGTTTCCAGATGAGGGAGAGGGGTGCAAGCATTTTTTTTAGATAATGCTCATTTTTATCCGATGAAGATGATAATAATATTGGCTAAAAACTACCATTAATGTATCTGTGATTTTAGATAAATTTTACTTCTTTTTACCGAGTTGAAGGTGACGCCAGTGTCGCTTCCTCGTATTATTTAGGTTATCGTGAAATTAAGAAACAATTTGAAAATTTCAAGTCATATAAGAGAAGAAATGAAACTGTCGTTCTTTGATGAATTGATATATAAATATTTGTGATCGTATTTTAACTACCGTATAAAGAAATTAAAGATCCTAATAAACAAAAAATAACTATATATTTAAATAATCTTAGAAAAAACTATTTTTAATCAGCATCACTCTAATTAAATAAATATAGGCTTCTGCGAGTATTTGCCTTTACAGATATGTTACATTCTAGCAGGGTATATTTCTTTTATAATGTATAGGATTTCTATTATTTTTCAGGCGAAAAAAGTCGTGCTTGTTAACACCTCAAAGGAAGAAAAGAGAAATGGGTGTATAATTATATCAACAGAATAATGGTATATAATACCATATTTAACAATGGATCAAAATTTAACGTTAGTTTTATATCCTGATTATATAGGTGTGGTGTTGTATAGGAGGGTAAAATCTAAAACGTTTATATTTTTCAGATAAGTCTATAAATGACATAAAATAAAAATATAAATCTATATTAAGTCAAGCTTTGATTCCATCAGATATATTTATCCCTGGTAAACTTAGGGTGGCGGGGAATTAACGAAGTCGTGAATTTTCAATTATAATTATAAAAAATATATATAAAATTGCCTTTTATAAATTAAGGAAACTTAAAGTACCGAAAAGTTTATGATTGAATGTTAATCGAATTCAACAGTCTAATATAAAAGTTATTTTATACTATGTATTGCAGGTGGCGAAAAAACGTGTCTAGCCAAGGTGGGATGAGTTTGTTGATATGGGTTGACATTGAGATCCATGTTTCCATTGAGAGTTCCAAACCGATCGTATTTTCCATTGTGTTGTCCACTTAGATTAACTATTCGTTTCATAATCAAATATATTAGCTTTATAATAACCTAAAGAATGAGTAAAAAGGATTTCTTTTTAGCTCAGACCTTAAATCTAATATCCTGAATTAATAAAAGTTTAAAAATGATGTGTTCAAAAAAAACAAAGATATAATATAACCTATACTGTTGTGATTGTTATTTATATTAGGATCTGGGGCATTGTGATGATGATGCAGACTTAAATGACTAAAATCTGTTAGAATACCATTAGGAGACATTCCATTGAGGGTTGAGATGTGATGGCCACTTAAGTCGTGGGAAGTCATCATAGGGTTATGATTAAAACAATTTGCAGCAAAGGCGAAAGTGGGTGAATGAGGTGCAATGCCTAAATAAAAAATTATCAGAGAACTGCAAACATGATCATGAAGTTATATCTTATTATATTATAAATAAAGATAAGCCAGATCTGTTAAAAGCTCAAATACTAGGGATGTAAATATTTTTTATAGGAAAGGATAGGGAGATATTTCATCTTTTTCAAAATATCGGTTATCAAACAAGGTCATAAAATTTCCAATCCAATAAAATGAGGTTTTGAAAAACTATTTCACATTTCATAATATATTTGGTTATTTGAAAATTTTCGCAGGCAACAAAGATAATATATTTATATTTAGAAAAGATTGGCGATTATAAATTAAGTTTTCGGTGGAAATATATATTTTGCTTGTAGTGGGTGGTGATTGACCTTAACTGTTCGTATTATGTGGTGATTGACCTTAACTGTTCGTATCATGTGGTCAATCGAACTTATATTTACAGTGATGAGAGAACATTAATTTCAATAAAATATGGATAATGGAATATATAGTTGTTATGAGTTTATTTTGAACATATTCGAGAGAAGTATATTATAAAATAGGTATATTTTATGATATCACGATTGTCCTTTTATATGAGCATATTTTACATTCAGATTTATTATGCATGAAGGACTTAAAACTATTTAGATGTTCTATCGTGGGCAAATAGTGAGGAAATGGGGGGAGGGAGATAAACGTAGAGTTGTGAGGAAAAGCGTAATTAAAATATACAACAATATATGTCCTAAAAATAAAAGTATTAAATTAACATAAATTTTAAAACTAACAAAGTTTGTTGTCATTTAAAAAATGAGGAGACAAATTATAATAGTCAATTGAAATATTATTATTTGTGAAATTAGGCTAAATTCAATTAATCCGCTTAATGACTTGTATTAAGAGCTATGGTGAAACGAATTAATATTTTTTTCTATTACTAATAATTTATTCCGATTTTTTCAAGAACCGAGTTGAAAATAATATCGACTAACGCAATGTATTAATTTTAAACTAGTGTTGTTAAAAGGTTTTTTAAAACGACTAACTTAATATTTTAGCAAGATAAATATTGCATAAGCCTAGAGATTTCGTGAATAGATGTCTTATTTTTGTGCCATCTATGGGCAAAATCTTCAGGCTTGCGTAATATTTTTCTGGATAAAATATTGAGATAGCCGTTTTTAAAAATCGACCCGTTTAACAACATTAAATAGAACCAAGATATATTTAATCAATATTATCTAGTGCTGTTAAGTAACGTCAAAAAAGTAACGTCGTTAAAGGAACGCGATTCGTTACCTTCTTTTAAAGGTAACGCGTTTCTTTTTTTTGACCAAAATGTTACCTTATATTTTTTTCAACAAAAAGAAAACCGTATTTTATTGTATTATTAAATTACTTTTATTTATTTTTTTAATTAATAATATAAATAACTTAATCCGAGTTTTAATTCATATCAACCACTCACTGCCTTCATTTAAATTTAAAATTCTCGTTGTTAATTTTTTGTCGAAATTAATATTCAATCAAAATTCAAAGTAAATGTTAATAATGATATTATTATTCTTATAATTTATTTTAAGAATATAATGTCCATAGTATTTAATTCTTCAGTTGAAGATGATTAAACCCTTCCCTGGCCCCAATTTGAAATATATTTTAAACCAATAAAAAAAATTAATGGGACTAAGTCTACACTTTGGAAATGTAAAAAATCATATCCCAACACAAATATTTCAACCTCAATGTCCAGCAGTTCAAACTTAAAAAGCATTTGAAGGTAAAAAAGATAAATTAATATATCATTATTTTAAATATTACTTTAATAGAATAATATTTTGAAAAGCTTAATCATGGAATTAAAATATAAGTAGGGCTGTGTCAATATTAAATATTGGATCTGTACCGATATTTAGAATTTTCCAAAAATATCTGAGAGGGCCGATACCTGTAAAAAACAGATCCGATTTTTTTACTTTTCTTTTCTTATTTTATTTTATGTTATGTATACTTATTTTACATTATTATAATATTTTCTAAATAATTTTTTTTAAACAATGCAGAAGCACAACATTCTTTAAATTTTATTCTTTTATAAAATAGATTTATAGTATTTTAAAAGTTTTTTTTATTAAAATAGAAAGGAACACCCAAAGTTTTAATTATTTTAAATCTTTTTAAATAATAACGCCAATTTTATTAATTATACTTTAAATAAAAGAATATTTTTAAATATGGTATCTGAATTATGGAAGTATTTTACAAAAGACAGAGATAATTTAGCAAAATGTGTTATCTGTGGAATCATCTGAGTTTACCTTCAGTACGTCAGGGGATATAGATACTCCATATCGTAGAAGCTTATTGCCAAAAAATCTAGAGGCTCTCGTATTTATTTTAAAAAATCTAATAACTATAATTTTACATATTAAATACAATTTTATAATTCATACCAACATAAATTGGATATATTATCAAATATATGTTTTTAAATTATAGTCATAATTGTAGAAATAAAAAAAATTAAATTAAATGCATAATTTGATTTTTCGCATAAAAAATATTGATTTCTTAATTATATTTGGTTCAATATAAATATCGGATCAGTATCAGTATTGCATCAGTTTTGGAGCAATATCGGATCGGATCGGTGAAAATATGTGACGGCACAGCCCTAAATATAAGCAATTAAATTATGTTACAGTATTGAGCTGGAAACCAACATTAAAAACCCAAAATTAACAAAATATTGGTGTTAAAAGTATTTTATTGAGTTTTTTATATCTTTTATTTCTTTTTTTAGTATTGCTACTGGTTTGACTATAATTGTTAATAAATTTGAAGAATAAAAAATAGTGATTTTAAAAAACTTTGTTTAAATATTAAATAAATATGAAAGAGTGGCGTAGCCAGGATTTATCCAATAACAAAATTTTACAGAGAATTTCATTATAGATTTTATTTATTATTAAATATATAACATCCCATTATTTAACCAGTTGTGTTGAGCACTAAGCACTCTTGTTTGTCTGATCAAAATTTTGAAATCAATTGTTGGTAAAAATAAATAAACAATTGTTACATAAATATGTTATCTTATAATTTTATTTATAAAACGATCTTATATATTCTTTTTGTATAGTTTTATTTTATTATATATTGTCTGAAAAAAATAAATATTATTTTTGTAAATATTTAATTTTTAAGTAACGAGTAGCCCGTTACTTTTTTGAAAGTCGGTAACGTGCGTTTCTTTTTTAAAAAGGTAACGAGTAATGGTAACGCGTTTCTTTTTTGTAGTAACGTTTACAGCACTAATATTATCATTTATAGCTAATTAGAAATTTATAAAATAAATTAAAAGTAACGAGAGAAGAAAAAAAATAAAAATATTAGAAATAATATAAAATTTTGTCAAATTCCAGTCATTTTAAAATTAAGGTTCATATTCAATCAAATCCGAGAAAATGGCTCTCCAGTTCTAAACTCCTGTGTTTATTTAATCTTAAGCATCTAAAAAAATTAGCGTAGGCTGATCTGGGTTGACTCCTACCCAAATACCAGAGATATGATATTAATGTAAACATTCATTTTAAGAGTTAAAAGTAATGGTATAACAGAAGTAACACTAACATAATAATCAATTTTTTAGCAACTAAAAAATATACAAGAATAAAATATATGAGAAGCTTGGAAAACACTAATATTAAAGATTTGAATAAAGTCAAATGGAATCAATGATTGCATAAAATTTGATATATCTCATTTCTTAAGTACAGAATAGAAATTGATCTAAATTAAATAAATATATATATTTAGTTTTTGTTATAATAGACTTGTCTTATGATCCATTTTTTAAAATTAAATTAAAATTACCTTGTATTGCAGGATAGATAAAAGGATTGGCGAACGTGGGAGATATGAATTTTGTTGGCAGTCCATAATTCCTATTCATGAAGCTATTGCTGGTGTGAATGTTAAGGTGATTAATGGAATCTTTTAAAAGTTGATATTTGGAGAAAAAGATCTATATTATGAACATTAAACTAAATCATATAATTTCTTTCTTTCTTTATAAAAAGATGGAGACTGATCTAGTACCATAAATAATTGGCTTGCCTCAAAATGGAAAATAAGATGGAAGTCCTTTGTATCAAATCATGGTTATAAAATAATATATAAAATTCAATTTCTTTCTATCTTTTTTAAATCTCAGTAAAAGAAGAAACGATTATCAGCTTAAACACAGATGCAGAAATGGAGATTAAATTGTTAAGACAAGATGATTGAAAAATTTTATTGTGGTAAATTTTTAGTATATTCATTTTGTAAATTTATATTCATTTATTTATAGCACATGTCCTTGTCCTTTTTGGGTGGACATGTTGTAAATAATAAAATATTTATACTTAGATATATAGTATTATAATGTCGATCAAATGTTTTTATTTTATTGGTTGTAAAAAATATAAAGTATATTGATTATTATTATACTATTGGATTTGATATGAAAAATAAAGTGTGATACACTTTTGTACCTCTTTGATACGATAAATTTTAAACTACAAGAATCACACTTGATTTTTCATATCAAATCCAATAGTATAATAATAATAATCAATATACTTTATTTTTACAATCAATAAAATAAAAACATTTGATTGGCATTCTTTTAAATATAATACTATATATATAAGTATAAATATTTTATTGTTTACAACAGCAAGATATAAGTATCTTATATATATTCTATTTTTTTATAAGATATTATCTGTATATAAATATATTATTTTATAAGGAATCTAAGTTCTTTTTAAAAGACCAGCCCAACTCTGACGATTGTCAAAGAAAATCAATGTTATTCATTTATAATTGCAAGAAATTTGTAAATACAAATAAATAGTTGTTTAATTTTATAGTTATTATGTCAAAGTTTAATCTAAAATGATTTAATTGTGAGTATATTCTTAATTACCCTATAAAAATTTTGTATTTTTGGGTGCAAAAAATACAAATAATTTAGTCAGGTTTTATTGATTTCAAATGTATATTCAACTTGAAATACTATTATTCATTATGTAATAAATTAAACATTAGTCCAAAGAAAAACAATTATTTTATAAACATAATCTCCACAAAGATCCTTTTATTAGGCTCTCTTGTATTTTACCATTATATTTTCCCTTTCTATTATCCCTTTAATCATTCTAGGATTAGACTAGGGCCCAGCAGCAGAAGGCCAGTCACCTATATTGATATAAAAAGGATTATGTAAAATTTTAAAATAACTTCCAAGTTTGAGATTAGTAGCAACCGAAACTGCTTGTAGAACTTCTTTGGGTTGAGCTTTTTTACATTCCACCTAGTGACATTTTAATTTTTAAAAAAATATTATGAATATTAAGTTGCCTTAGTAGCAAAATATTTTATCTCTAACATAAAAAATTAGCATTTCCACTAAAATTAAACTTTTTTTAGAAAAAGTAATCTTATTCAAGATTATAAAATAAAATATATTTTATAGTTTACCATTTTATTGCTGATTTCATGGTAATGTATTTCGCAAACTTTTTCAGCAATGTCTTCTGTTTCAAATGTTATAAAACCAAATCCTTTTGTTTAATATTGTAATTTTTATAAGCTTATATATGATTAAGAATAGGGTTATGTTGATCAACAATTTTTATATGAATTTATTTAATATCCATCTCTAAACCAATGTGATCCAATTTTTATAATAAACTATGGGCTAAACAAGAAACACTTTAGAATTATCTAGAAACAAACCAAAATTTTTTATAGGATTAGTGAATTTTTTTATAAATATTATTTATAGGCTGATTTGATTAAATTTTCTTATTAGATCCAATAATTTTATAATATTTAAAAATATATTTGTATAAATAAAAAAGCATTCTTATATAATTGAAGTGAATTTTTTTTAAAAAATTTTTAAATGGACCAGGCTAAAATTTCTAAAAAAATAACTAAGTATATCATGTCAAACAAAAAAATTCACACAAAGATAGGCCAGCCAGGGCATTAAAATTCTGGCATATTTTTTTATGAAGTAGAAGTTTGCAAATTGCAAAATATCAAGCACAAGCTAGTTTTATGTCTAGCCCATCCAAATGTGCTCCAAACCCAGTTCCAATCTTATTTTTGTCCAGCCCAGGCCAGTTTTTTATAATTCAGAAAAATATCCTATAAAAAAAATATCCAAAGATGATGAGGATTTCAATCTTATTATTTTTAATAGCAATAAACATAAAATGTAAGAAAAGAAAGAAGAAATTGTATTTATGAAAGGATGATCATAGTAGCAGGTCATTAAATCTTATATATTATAAACAAGATATAATATATTATTTTAACAAAGTTAGGCTTTAGATTTTTATCTTTCTATTCTTTATTTAGCAGATGTGGCATCTCTACTTCTTGCATGCTCAGTCCATTTATTTTTTTGCCCTGCCTAGCCCAAATAAAACTTTTTCAGACATCACCCAGCCTGGCTGAATTGAAAACTATAATTTCAACTTTATATTTTGATTAATACTTTTGAAAAAAATTACACTGGGATTGGGAAAAAAATTTTGGCCCAGGCTTGACAACATGTTCAAAAATTATAATGAACCAGAGCAGGCAAGGTTGGGCTTTGTAAGGCCTCCAGTATGAATTGCCAGCCTAGCTTATTAATGTTTTATGTACTATTTGCTTGTCTCCAACCTGACTGCAGAGTTGGGCAGACTACAAATACTTGTATCTAAGATACAAGATCCTTTTGTATCTTGCAGTATCTTATTGACTTTTTAATAAGATACTAGTATCAGTATCTAAGATCTTTTATTTTGAAAAGAATCTTATATCTTTTTCATTTTCTTTAAAAAAAATAGATTCTTTTTATTATTCATGTTTAAAACATTTACATATCACACAATGTAACTTTATTTTCTTCGTAGAATCTTGTATTATTTTTTCCTGCTATATTTTAAATATATTGATAACCAAAATTAGTTGGAAATTTTAATTTGTAAAATGTCTAATATTCATAGTGAAGATGAAATTCAGGAGATAGGTTCTCCTGAATCAAATTCGAATCTTAAAATTCTAGATGAAAAATTTTATAAGGTAATTCATGTGAAAAAGGACAAGGTACAAGATGAATGTCAAAATTGCAAAAGTAAAAAAGTTATTAAAGGTTCAACAAACTCCTCTACAAACTTTGTTAAACATATTAAAGTATATTATACATTTTTATTTTATAATTATTTTATATAATAATACCTATACTTAAGTCCCTCTTAGATAATTGTTATTTTAAAATTTTTTAAAGAAGATGGTTGATATCAAATTAAAATCATTTTGGATATATATTGATTTTATAATCTTATAAATTATGATTTTTGCAAGTTCTCTTATTAGAGGAAATATTTAAGCAAAAATTGATATATAACATTAGATAATTTTATAAGGCTCTTAATAAAATTATTATAATAAGGTAGAATTTAACTTTATTAGTTACTTTTATTTATTTATGATATAAGTAAAATTACATTACAGTATTTACAAAATTTAATCAATTAAAATGCATAAAAGAAAATTGTTATGTATTTAATAATTAAATAATATAATGTTGTACATTATTTTCATATTTTTTATATATAATTAATATTTTGCTAGAAATATATAAAAAAAATGTGAAAAGAAATTTAAATGAATATTACAAATTCAAGAATTAATAAGTCATATTAGAAAATAAAATTATTTAAAAAAATACATAAATATCACAAACAAGTAATGATAAATACTTATTAAAGATAATGAATAAAATAAAATAAGTATATTTTTTTAGAGATGCCATTTAGCCATATACTCCGAATATAAGTTATATTTAAAACAACACAGAAAAAAACCTGCAAAATATAACACCATAAAAATATGATTCAACCTAGTATATCAGAATCATTTAATGCAATTAATAAAATAAAACCTATAATAACCCAAAATAAAATTGATATGTGCATTTATTGTCAAGGGTTTACACCCTTTGAGCCTAGTTGAACAGTCTTAATTTGTTACAATGATGGAAGGTTAGATAATTTATTTTAATTTTTTTATAAATTATTTTCGAAGATAACAAGAGAAACCCTTGAAAGGCATAAAGATTGGCATGTAGAAGAATGCCTGGCACACATTCATTTGATAAAATTGCCAGAATATGGGATTTCTGATAAACTATTGCTACTGTCACAGATAATGCATCCAGTTTTGTAAAAGTCATTTACTGAATATGGTGCAAAATTAAATGCTCTTGACAATGATTTTGAGGATCTATTAGAGTTCAATGATGGTTTGTAGAGATTTTTTTTATATTTTTTTTAAATCTTTAGATGATATAAACAAAATAATATTACCCAGGCACATCAGATGTGCCTGCCACACTTTGTCCTTAATTGCAACTAAGGATATTATTTCATCAATATTAAGCTCAAAGAATTTTGGAAAGATTCATTTTGGACTAATGGGGAAATGCACAAAATAATGGAATGCATGTGAAAGGCCCAAATCTTCTGAAAAGATAAAGGAGATTACAGGTGGTATTTAGTTAAAGGTTCCATGCATAAAGAGGTGGAACAGTTTATATGATAGTTTGACCTCATTATTAAAATAAAAATCCAATTTTAAATTATTATTTGAAACAATTGATTGTACTAATTTAAAAGAAATGGATATTGTATATATGAGAAATATTGTAAAGTTTTAGGCCATGTAGCAATTGCATTAGAAAAACTACTAAGTCAGAGTAGTACATTTTATGGGGAATTAGTGCCCATACTATTTGTAGTTAAAAGGGAATTAGGCAAACTTGAGCATTCAAGTTTACAATATTGTCTACCTCTATTAAAAGCTGTCCAAAATGCTATGGGTAAAAGATGAAATTTTTTTTCTTATGATGAATATAATGAGGCCTTTTTGGCTTCATTAACATATCCATATTTTAAGAACCTATGGATTGAATCTGATGATAAAAAAATATATTACTAAATGAAGCCTTAAATTTAGCATCTAGTATACCATCAAGCTCATGCTATATCACCAATACATTTAATATCTAATAAAGGAAATGATGATTATTTTTCATTTGGTGAAACAAATGTTGAGTTCAACAACACAAACAACATTGAGCTCGATGTTTTAGATTATATTAAAGACCACCTAAAAACACTAGAAATGCTTAATTTTTATCCTTTAATTAGGGAAATTTTTAAATATAATAGTCCCATACCTTCATCAGCTACTGTTGATAGGTTATTTAGTTTTGGCATAATGTTAAATACGCCAAAAAGGCAAAGGATCATAATAAATTATTTGAAAAAATAAACATTTGATTTAATTTATTCTTTACTTATTTGCAAATTTTCAACCCCCATAAAATATACTACTATCCCTTCCCTGTTTATGCTATTAATGGGAAAAAATAATATTAAAATCCCTGGTTATTATAATTAATTCATCAATAAATATTTTATTAATTATTGCAAATATTCATTCTAATTATATGAGTATGCTATGTTCTGCAAATAAATAATAAAAACCATATTTTATAAACTATTCTAATTTAATTGGTAATGATAATTTAAAAGTATCTTGTATTTAAGATACTCTAATTTAGCAAAAGATACTTATATTTTGAAAAAGATACTAATATCTGTATCTAAGATTCATTTTTTTATAAAATCTGTATCTAGATTCTTTTTCCGGAGGACTTACCAAACTCTGCCTGACTATTATAATTTTTTTTAATTTATCTGGCCTAGCATTTGATCTTTTAGATGGGTTAAGCTTTACAGATCTCTAACAACTATTAAAAATAGAAATTGGTTTATAAACACCAGATATCATCTGCAAAAGTCAAAATGTTAGTTGGATTTTTATCTTTGATCATTTTAGACCCTGCTTTGAATTTTTAATCATTATTTAGAGTAATTTGTGCCGTATTTTGTAATGATTGTTTCAAAGAAAATAATAAATATGAGTAGTAAATAAATATTAAAAAGTAGAGCTCTGCAAATCCATTTTTTTTGGTGAAGTATGGCCCAGAATTTAAATTAAATTTTAAGCCCAAGATGGGCTCAAGTTTTTTATATCTATTATTAGCCCAAGCCTAGCCTAAATTTTAAACAAGAAAATGTTTCATTTATTTTATAAAAAAAATTACATTTAAATCCAGTCAAATATATTTTTTAAATAATATGCCTGAGATAAACAATTTTCCAACTGATTAAATGATATAATTTTAAAAAATAGGTAAATCAGCCTGGCCCAAATTTCCAAATTAAGACAGGATCTAATTATTTATGTTATTGAATTATTTGGTCCATTCTGGGTCAGCTTGAATACAAGTCTCTGATAAATATGTTGATTACAAGATTTGGATTTTTTTTATATCTTAAGGTATACAAAAATTTAATTAAATCAACATATTATTTCATACTTATAATTTTACAAAGATAAATCTAATTAAAGTGTTTTAGAGAATATCCAAAAATAATGAGATTTATGAATATAAAAACCTTATAAGAATCATGAAATTGAACATGGTCTAGCTATATTTTTATAAATTATTATTTTAAAATAATACATATTACTGCTCATGCAATGTTTGTCATTATAAGGATTTAAATGTGAATAAAAACAAATATATTTTAACTTTTTTAAAAAATTTATACTCACTTTTGATTTTTAATTATGATGATATAATAAACCCAATGGCTATTATAGAAGATGTTCTTTTTAGATGTATAACATTTATAAACAAAAAAGAATAATGATAATATTTAAAGCTATAAGGTTATTCTATTATTAAAATAAGAGACTAATGATCACTGTAATTAAGTTTTACATATATGTATAAAGTTTGTGATACATACCTCTGTGTCTATTGGTGTTTTTATCAAACATTAACATTGCATCTTCAATCTATTTTTATATCAATATTTTAATAAATATTATTAATAACTTTGCCAAACGTTTCAAAATATTGCTTGATGTCATCAATGTTTGTTATAACAGATATACCACCTATAAAAACCTTTTTGGTTTTGGTTATAAGCTTAAAAAATTTTAGAAAATTATATTTTATATAAAAAATAATTTGAGAATCTATTTTGAAAAATTAAATAATGAAATTAAAATTATTTATAAATCATGTTTTTAATATATAATAATGAGAAAAATAAATGGCAGATCAAAACATTAATTTAAATACAAATAAATTTAGAATCAATTAAAACTTACTTTTGGCTGACCCTTTTTGGGAAATGCAATCTTTGGATCAATCTGTTATAACATTTATATAAAATATATATTAATAAAATATGATTATATAAGAATAAACAGAATGTATTATATATTTTAAAAATATAATTTACGATTTTATTATCAAGTTCGTGTTGAGATATGGCTAGAACTTTTTCGATTGACTTAGGATCAACAAAGGTTACAAACCCAAATTTTCTTGAACGTTTAGTTGCTGGGTCTTTCATTATCATGCATTCTTCTACTTCGCCAAATTTACTAAAATATTCCCTGAGTGATTCTATTGTAAAGTAAATTTTATAATCATAAAAATTTGAATACCGGTGGAAGTTTGCCAGCTTAATCCTCCAACAAACATTTTTCTATAAAAAACATGTAAATAAAGATGATTTAACTTTACCCATTTTCTAAATTTTCTCGTTCCTCCGAATTATTAGAATCAGTATCGCCCATGTTTAAATGATTGTCTTTATATAATATTTACATTTAATCTTTCGAGCGAATAAATTTGAATAAATTAAACTAAATCTATCTAAGACTAAGGATTACGCGCGAATTTAAATTATATCATATAATTAATTTTAAAAAAATTCTATTATAAATATATCATAATTTATTTTGTTGCATTATGTGATGGCGCGAAATATTATAATAGAAATAATAGTAAATAAAATTTAAGCCAAATAATCGTCATTTGATTTGATTGTCATTTGGAGATAAATAACAAATAAGTTAATTTAACATATATATCCACAAAAAACATATATATATAGTATACATATTTGAATATTATTAATGACATTTAATTTTGATAACTATAAAAAACTTTATGACCATCTAATTTTATGATAATAATAATCGAAAATAATCTGAACATAAATAAAAATTATATATCTATTCAAATTTATTTTAAAAATAAATTAATTTGATGCAATTTATATTTATAATAACAAAAATATTAAGATATTTTTAAGGATTAAATGCAAAGGACAACATTTAAAATTATTTTATTTATCAAATAATAACTTCTTTTTAATTTCGTAAAGTTTCATTAAGAGTAGTTAGGTTAAAAAGCCAGAATTGGTCGATTTCTAAGAAAGGCCCGATTAAGACTTTAATCAAATAAATATTTTATAAGCCTAGATATTTGGTCATAGATGGCAGATAAGATTGGATTTTTATTTGAAAATCTCTAGGTTTACGTGATTATATTTTGATTCAATTCTTAATCAAGCCGTTTTTTAAAAATAGATCCAAATCGGACTTTTTAACAAGATTACTAATAGGCTGTTATTTATTTTTCAGCATATTATTCAAAATTTTTAGTATATTTGAAAAGATGTTTTCGTAATAACAAAATTGTCAGTATTTTATTTATCCTACCAGTATAAATATTAATATGAAGTACCTTCGAGTTCGTTATAAGATCATTTTTCCAGTGTTTAATAGATTTGACTTGTCAGTAAATTTTCTTGTATTTATTTGTCATTAATATACTTTTCTATAAATTATTTTATGATATTTAATTTTTACTATGATATAAACTTAACTAAAATTTAACCTCAAAACCCGTGCCGAATTTAAATATTAACATAAGTCGTGTATTTGCTTTTTTAAACTTTTTACTGACATAAACTTTTACGCATAGAGCTACTGCAGCCTCAAAATTGGATATTTCTTCTCATTTTAAATTGACCCCCATGTATCTCTTCTTACCCATTTTGATAAGTGTGAGAAGAATCACGTTTTGCTCTGATTACGAGGACAAAAATTAATCCAAAATTATCTTATGATATTGCAGAAAATTTCAATTTTTGAGGCCGATCAAATGAAAAAAGGAGGCTGATCAGAAAATATAAAATACATATTATTTCTTTTTGATCATAAAAATTATGACTTTACTCTTATATTTTTATATTAAAAGTTATCATATTTCCTTTTTTAGCATTAGAATATCCAATTTTGAGAGTCATCATTTAGATATTGCATATTATGGGTGTTTAAAAGAATAAATACATGTCCTTTTAAATAAAAAACACGTTGATTGATTTATATTTTTTTATATTTAGAGGTTATAATTTTATAATTCAATTAGCTTTAAATTAATAAATGCAGAATATCTATGTACCAATATGCTTATTTGATATAATATCGTTGTTAGGTAAACAAATCCTCCAGAAGATCAAACCACAGTGAAACACTTATCAATTTTGAAATTAAAAATAATCATGGGGATTACCTTGAGATGATACACAAATCATATCAAAGAATGATAAAATACTTAAACGCCATTTAGAAAAGGCTATTTTTAAGATCAAATGTAGAAAAGGAAAGCTGAAACTTCCCGATAAATTAAAATACAAGGGAAGAAGATCTCTAACAATATGATGTCAAAAAGACTGTTAATAGGTTATTATTGTTGTTCTAGGTAAAATTATGAATTTCTTATTAAAAAAGATAGATAGGTAGCAAACTATTAGTTTGCAAACACAAGAGAACAGTTGATCTTGTCAAAAATCATTTATCTGGCTAAAGCTGCTAGCCTTTTAAAAATAGGTGAAACAAGGTGGTGGACACGTAAAAAGATAGTTTAGAAGAGAGCCTACTCTCGATCTCTATAAGGCAATAACTAACCTTATCAGTAACTAAATCTTTAATTGAGAATCTGAGGAAATTTAAAACTGTAAATTCGCCTTTATTTTATTTAAAATAATGGGATGGCTTTTATTATATTTATAAACTTATTGAAAGTTTGTCAGCTTCGAACATGATTGAAGATACCAAATATCTTCTATCTTTTATAATCTTCACCTCCGTTGAAAATAAAGCTCAATAAAAATGGCTACAAATTTAAATAAAAATATTACTGATTTAAAGCTTCTAAATAACATCAGGGTACAAAATAAAGTTCTAAAAATCGAATAAGTCTAACAAAGAAAATCCGATAAATCTCTATTAAATTATTTCACCCTACAATTGGACCATAAAATTTTCGGTGAATAAAGATCTTATAATGAATGTGCAATGTTAATATCCATTTTGATGATTAAATATTTAAGATATTTCTGGCCTTAAAGAAAGTTTTACAATTAGAAAATTTATTCATTAGCAAATTATGAAAATGGTCTTCATTTGCTTATATTTACATAGATTTAATTTTTCACCCGAAAAACCTAAACTATTTAAAAAAATTGACTGAATCAATATATATTGTATATTCACTCTCCCTACACCATATCTTTCTAAAAATTTAGTCTAACCTGCCCTCATCTCGTCTACTAAGATAACTAAAAAATTTCTGTTCTCTAACACTATGAGCATCAATCAATCTGATATATTTGAAAAAAGGCATTTTAAGACACTGAATGTCGATCATTACCCAATTTTTCCTTATTAGGTAGATATAAAGTGTTGTAATCATAGAAATATATATATATATATATTAAAAAATTAGAAATGTCAATCATTATATTTTTATGAGAGTGAAGAAAAGGGGATTATTCATTCATTGTTTATTTTTCTTGTATGAATTGATTAATTATTTTTCTTTGTATGAATATGAATTGATTAATTTATTTTTCTTTGTATGAAACGTAGTGAAAACATTTAATAAAGAAACTAATTGAAATATGGTGATTATTTTATTTTAGTTATTTTGACAGTTATATTATAAAGAAACAAGATTTTTTTTACTGAAAAATTATATTTTGATTTATGACATTAATTAGCCTATACTGATGATTCATTCATTAAAAAACGAAATTGGAATCCTACATTGAATGACATTTAGATGATATGTTAAAGGCAGTTAAACAAAATGCCTATCAATGTCATTTACAACACCTGTCTTCCATGTATGTATTAAAAATATATTTTTTTTGATAAGATAAAAAAAATCAGTAAAAATTTATTAGTAACCTAAGCTGACGATTCATTTATTAAACTTTCATATTTTAAATTTTTGTAATATGTATATAAAGATTTTTATAATTAATCTGTACCCTGCCGCACGCTCTCTTTCCCAGTCTTTCAAACACCACCGATTCGGGCCTAGAACTTACAAATTGAATGGAATATTTTAGCATTTGTGTTTTTCTTGAAATTGCTTAAATTCAAGCGGTTTTTTAAAAAAAAACAATCATTCGATTAATATTTTGGCAAAAATAATATTATGTAAGCTCTGAAATTTGAATAGAATTCCAAACCTTTCTGCTGCATGAGAAAATTCTCCAGGGTTACATAATATTATTTTGATTAAAAACTAAATCGAGGCGTTTTTAAAAATCGATCCAAATTGAGCTTTGCAACAACATCAATGGTAATTATTATTTACTCTAAAACTATTTTCATAAAAAATAAAAATTCATGGACAATTTCATCTGGTAGCATGGAACAAACTTCTTTTCCAAAATTAGAGACACCTAGATGCCAAAAGAGGCATGAAGTTCTTATTTCTTGAGATAGGCCAACGTTGGAAAAATCGACATTGGTTACAACGTTTTAACAATCAAGAAAAATGTCCTATTCGATTCTCATGTAGAGGTTATAACACTAAAGGGAGAATTCACAGCAAAATCCAAGAAAAAAGTGTTAGGAATTTTTTTTTATCAACATTATATATATAGCCCTGAATGAATGGTTAAAACATAAAACTACAAAATAGGGTCATTCCAATGTCAAATAAAACACTTTTTCAATATTCATTCCTGAATCAATTTTGGTGCATTAAAATATTTTAAACGATAAAAAAAGGCTTTTAATTGCATTGAAATATCTATGTATAGTTTCATCTATATGTTTATTTTATACATTATTTGCTATATTTTTTCAAAGCGTGCTAATTATTAAAGTTATTATAAAAATAGCAAAAGATTAATAGAAAAATTGAAGCTAATAATATATTCGAAAAATTAATTTAAAATTTTCAAATGGACATATGACTAATATTTTTAAAAAAATCAAATTTGATGTTTTTAATAATTATATTATTGCTTAATTAGTAATATTAAATATTCATACCAATATAGTTTTCAATTTAAAACTAATTGTTTAGATAAATAAAATATTTTAAAAACTCGATTTTTATACTTTTAATCCCCATTCAGGTAATATAATTGTTAATGCGCTATAATTTCGTTCTTGACAGGTAATATAATTACTAATAAGCAAACTTAAATCTTCTACCTCGAATTTTCAAGCTGATTCAAAAGTGTGAGGATGCTTGCAAATATAAGAGGGGGGAGTTGTAGACAATACAAATATAATTTTAAACGACTATTTAAAAGTAAACTAGAAAATAGTTATAAATTAAAATGCCAAAGTTATATTAAAAATGTATCAAAATAATGTGTGAAAATATGAATTAAAATAAAATCAACCTAACTTAAAAAAAAATGATAACCACAAAACTACAATGCAATAAAACGATGTGCAACTACAATATGTATAACCAGGCTTGTTTATTTGACCTGTCAAAATAAAATAAATGTTTTTTAAAACAATATTAACTTTATTTAACATATAATAGTAAAATGAATTTATATAATATTCGTTTTATATTTTTTGAGTTCATTCTATAATTAATGATTTGTTCTCACTGGCTAATGACATATAATAATACCTAGACTGGCGTTGCATTCATTAAAGTGTACATCAATGAAAAACATCTGAGGACGCCATGTTGGTTACGCATAACATATATAAAAATTTTAGGTTCTTGTCAATTCAGCGAAACTTTTATCGCGAATCCACATTAGCGAATACTTTTCCGCGAAAACAATATAGCGAAACAAATATCAAAAATTTTTTATAGCGAAACTCTTATCGCGAAACCTTTAAAGTGAATATATTAGAGCTAAATTTTTATCGCGAAACAATAATCGCGAAAATTTTATAGCGAAGTCAATATCGCAAAACATAAATCGCGAAGACAATATAGTGAAAACTATTTCGCGAAATATAACGCGGCATATTATAATTTTTTTATATTTATTAAAATAATTTATTTTATTTATATTTAATGTTAATATTTTATTTATCAACAAATAAACATATTATATGATATATATTTTTTATTTATATTATTATATTATGAAATGAAAAATGGATTTCTTTTATTTGATGATTTTTTGTAGTTCAAAAAGATTTTGAACATATTTTGATAAAAATTTTTAATCTTTTTTGAGGAATTATTTATGAATATTATTATAAATAAAAAATCTTTTATAGTTTTTTTTAATCATTTTTGTAAAATTATATATTTTTTAAGTATATTAAAAGAGATGGGTTTTCTAAATAATATTTTTATTTAACTCATATATGTTATTTTATATGATCTTTTTAAGGAAAATAATTTAATCTGACAATTTTTATATTCGTTATTGAAGTTGTTCCTTGGAAAAATGACAATTATCATAATCGGTATTTTTAAACATTTTAGATTTTTTTTACGGTAAAATATGTATTTTTAACATGTTAAATTAAAATTTCAATTAAGATGCACTATAAAAAGTGACAATTATCATAATCGTTATTTTTAAAGTTTTTTTGACGTAAATCGGCTAAAATAAGTATTGTTAACATGTATTAATAAAACTTCAGTGAAGATGTACCATAGATAAGTGATAATTGTCATAATCGTTATTTTTAAAGTTTTTATAAAAAACGGTACCTATACTTTATTTTTATTGACCTTAAGAATTTATTATATTCTTGTAATATATATTCTTATAACTTAATATTCTATAAAATTTTTTGTATATTTATTAGTATATAAGATAATTATATTTCGCTATACTGAATACTGATATATGATTCGATGACTGCTGTGAAATAAACGCCTGATATGATAAAACAGATCAGAATACATATAGAAATTGACACTAAGAATGAAATTGTTAACAGATTTGGGTAAGAATGAGGAATATAGATCTCAGCAGTCAATTATTGAGTATTATTCAATTAGGAATAAAAATGGGGATAAAAAAATTGGGAATCCTAAAAGAATTAAGGATCATAGAGATATATTTTTAAAGAAAAAACTGATTGAGATTATAAACAATGAGAGTGATAATATAAAAATATTTAAAGTTCTTGAGGTGACTGGGAAAATATATGGAAAAGGGCTAAGGATATTATATGACAAACAAGATGAGAAAATACATATAGAAATTGACACTGTAACTCTACCTACCGAGAAGGGTTTAACTGTTAGCGGCTTTTCTACTGTTTATCAGATGACAATTTTGAGAAGCAATTACTATACAAATTAATAAAAAATTACTAAAATTATACATTTTTTCAATGTAATTTATTCTTTGAATTTTTGTGTAATAAATATATGTAATATTGAAATAAAAGTAAAAATTATTATGCGATCTTTAAAAGCTTCAGCTGAAATATTTAAAAAAGAAACAGAAATACTCTTATTGAGCCCAGAAGGCCGGCCTGACACCCACAGAACAATTCGTCAAGTATCCCGAGTATTTCGCAAACTTGCATCGATTTATCCATAAAGTTCTGCAGGTGAAATGTTTAAAAGAAACAAACCCAGGACCTATGTCCGTCTGATATGTACCAAGCAACTTCTACGAAAATACCCTCAGAGGTTAGTTCATTTCATATGATTCATGGTGAAAAGTTTTCAGTAACTCCAATGGTAAATCTGTAAAATGATAAAATGTACGTTGCAATTTCAACGAGGAAAAAACAATGGAGCCAATTAACCTTCGTACTCGTTCAAATTTCTCTAAATCCGTCATTGTTTCAGTCGGAGCATCAAGTAGTAGGCTATACAGAGCTCTTCTTTATCGATCCAGACCTCAGAATTAATGGTGAATACTATCATGACGTTGTGCTCGGTGAACACTTATTGCTTGCTATTAAAGAATTGTAAAATAATGAATTTTTCATATTCCAGCAGGACAGTGTTTCAACTCACCGACCCAGATAACTCTAGATCTGCTTTAATAGAAATTCCAGATTGCAGAAAACATTGATAAATTTATTACTTTGTCAATCTTATAAAATTTTATTGAAATATTTAGGATTATAGATTTATTGCTAAAACCAATAAAATATATATGATGTATTATTAAAATATCCTGTATAGGTTGTATTAATTGTGGACCCATTGGATGTCAAGATTTCGAAAAACGCTACAAGCAGCTACATACCATATTATCAGTAACAACTAGGTATGAGCGAAATTATTTTCAAGCCATAATTATACATCTCATGGTTCAAATTTCTTAATTTGTACCAAAGCCTGCAGAAGTCAAATTTTTAAAACCGGATCGAATATTTTTTTATTTATAGACCCAGTCCAGATTATTTTAAGACCTGACCCGGATTCTTATAATTTTGTCATTTTAAATAACTTAGGTAGTACATTTTATAATTGTTAATGGGAAAGAAATATAGAAAACAAATGAATGTTAAATGATTTATAGTAAGATTTTCTACCTGTTTAATTTATATACAATAAGCTGGATTTTTAAAATCACTTGGCCCGTTTTGGGCCGAGATTACAGATAGATCTCTGATTAAATAAATATAAAATTTTAATTAGTTTAATATATATAAATAATTAATTGTATGTATTCTATTCAAATCGGAAAGAAGACGTTAAAGTTAAAAAAAAAATTATTTTTCTGAAGTTTAGACACTTTACACATCATTCTCTCTGAAAAACATTCCATATCTGGACCCGGCCCAGTTCTTAATTAACCAGTTCCTTTTCCTATATTTACGAATTTATTTTAAAAAATGAAAATTTAATGTGAAATTAATAAACAAAATATACTGTACTTATTATTACAACACAAAAAAAGGTATATTGTTTTTTTATATTTTGAAAAATAAATTTTTTATTAAAAACCGGCATATAGTAGTCCAACATTATGATAAAAGTATTTTTTTAAATAAAACCCAATACCAGTAATTGGCCTGGCCTGGTAGATAAATAAAAATTTGTATCCAGTCCTGTACCGGTGCAAAAAATTGTATATATATATCATTAATCATATTGCATTTATTAAATTTAGGCCTATAAGAATTTAGATCCTATGAAATTCGATAGTCTCAAAATTCACGTATAAAATCTCGTTGTAATAATTATGTTTCGCTAAACGATAATTATGAGAGTTACAAATTTGGGTGCATAAACATAATGCATTGGAATCCTATAAGATGTAATAACAAATTTAGTTATTTATAATATAAAATAGAGATAATTTTATATAAATATAATATTATATTACAAATGGTTTATAAATAAATGGTCTTCAGAGATAAAATATATTTGAAAATACATATTACACGGTTAATACACAAATGGTTTTGAACAATCAGCTTTATATAATGTTGTAAAATATATAATTTTTAATATATTCAATGATAAATTATGTAAGGGTAATTCGAGGATAGAACTTGATTCTGTGATTTCACATCGCAATACTTTATGTAAGAAATTAATCCTCTCGGTAAAATTTTGGAAAAATGAGAATCTAATTTAGTTGTATCTGGGACTAAAATACGAAGAGCTAATCTACAAAGGTGTTCCAAGCGATTGGGTTGGTCAAAGTGCCGGGAAGACGGCATGGAAGGATCTGAATGCTCGCAAATTATATTTTTGCAGATATCACCATAGTGGATATGGGAATCGCACATACCCCATAACATTAAACGACCAAATTTGTCTCTATTCACAGTTATTTAATTCAAGGTAATGAAGATTAAATTAGTTAATTAAATAAAATAACAGCTCGCTAGTAATTAAATAAAGAAGAAATATGGTAATTACATTATATGCCAATAAATAAAGATTATTCAAATATTAGTTTTAGCAGAGCTATAAAACGATCCATCGAGATATAATTATTTTAAAAGAATATTATATTATTTGTCTACACCCCCCCCCCCCCAACAAAAAAAACAACTTTCAAAAACCTAAATACTTTTATAACCAAAAATAAAATATTTACAAATAAAGTATATAAATTATTTTTAAAATTTTACCCGGTTGCTAGAATCGAAGGATTAGCGGAATACTTACAGCATAAAGGAAAATCCTGTCTGCCAATTTTAATCGGCAATTCCAAATCAGAATGAGGATCCCAGAGTCTTAAATACCTGTGAGATTTCACCCCAAAAATAAACATTTTTTTCAATAAGAATTATATTAAAATTCGAGATTGTTTCATAACTTTTTTTTATTCCGTATCAAATTAAATATTAATTAGATATTTCGGGTTTATCGATTTAAACAAAATACTATAAAAGTCAAGAAAAATTAATGACTCATGTAATGTTTATAAATTAAATATTATAATATTTTTGTTCGTTGCAAAAAAATATTTGCTTTGATGAATGAGCATATATAAAATAAAATCAATATTATAAAATGTCGTATAAAGAATGATGCGGTAGTTAAATATTTGTTCTTTAATATAGGTTTTAATTAAGTCCATCAAAAAATATGATATGAAATTTTTGCACGAATAATAAAAAATTATTGACGAATAATAAATTTTTACTTCACAAATATGATTGTTATTTTAAAAAGCTTTAGGTAAGAATGGCTTTTTAACAATTAATTGATAAAAATAATGTTTTTAATTATAATTGTATCTTATGCACAAATAATATTCATTGGTGGTATCAAGAAAAGAACTATCAAGAGTAAATGGTAGTGTAAAAAAAACAAAAGGAGGGAATGTATGGGGGCTTTGCTCCCTATACCCCCTTTTGATAGGCCTTCATTCCATTTTTTTCTTTTTCGAATGGGCTACACTCAATTAAATTAAATAACATTAATATCCTTGCAAAAATATGATCACTTCTGAAAGAAGCTGAATTGATGCGCCGTGGCAATCAGGTTAGAGATAGAAATAACTCAACCCTACAAGTGCAAAGATGTAGGGCATAAGTTGATCAGAAAGCAAAATACCTCCATTGTCTATTTAATAGATACATAAACATAACATGAAATAATTTATAAAATTATTCAGAAGCACTCTATGGAGCTAATAATCCAACACAGCTCAAATTGCAGAATTCTTCTCACATTAACAACACTTGACAGGATGGACATACACTTATCACATGGGAAAAAGGCAAACATATGTATTGGGATTTTACCTATATCGATATTTTTGCCCCTTCTCATAGATTACGATCCATTTGGAATTGCTGAGAGAAAGAAAAGCTTAAAATATTCGTAGATTTCTGTTAATAATGTATTCATCCCATTAATAGTATCAACTTCCTGTTCGTATGAAAATGTGGCAAAATAATCTCTTTTTAAACTTATAGTCAAAAAAGCGATCATAAAATTAATTAAAAATAAGCTTTGAGGGATATGGTTTAATTTTAAATTACTCAAAGAATAATGACCACTACATTATGATGGACAAAACTTATAATAATAGTCTTTTTCCTTTTGTTTAAAAAATATTAAAATTTAATATAGTTTTTTTTTAAATATAACCATATTCTTTATTATTATTTTTTTTAAATTCTACATTAAAATCATGCATATGTTGTAGCTGTTGAAAAAAAGAAGAAATAAATTTAATATAATACATCAAATGTCAGTTATTTTCTGACAGGGGAATTAGTTTTTTCCTGGTGGAGGGGAAGAAAACGGAATCATCACATGGGTTATTGTTAAAGAAAAGTCTTTTGTTGGAGATTTGGAGTGAAGATATTGTATTAATTGGAGAAGATGTCAGCTGGAAGGAACAAAGAATGGACCTGTGGGGATGAAGAATATATGAAGCTGGATAATTATTATTTATAATCTTTATATTTTTTTTAATGGATAGATAAATATAATTATGAATAAATATGGATCGTTTTATTGTTGCCGATGACTTCAGGATTTATCTAGGGATTAATGCGGAACACAATGCAATGTAAAGGATAAGAAAGTGATGCATGTACAGAACCTGGAAATTCAAGAGTTATTTGTTATAAAAAGGTAAGAACCATTTTTTTTTCATGTAATTTTGAATTTTACTGTGAAACCACAACACAAGTACTAGAAACTATACAGGGGTAAGTGAGATTAAGGGGTGAGTTTAAGGGTTTCTATACTTATATATTTAGCTTACAAAGGGTAAGATAGAAAGTATGTAATGAGTATTAGGCAGGAATATGAAAATAAGATCAGGAATTTAAGACAGTAATATTTGGTATATTATATGTCTAGAAGTATATTGTACATCCAATTTTGACAATAGATATGGTCTTATTATTTGGTATGCCTTAAAACTCATTGAATGGTGTTATAGGTCCGTCATAGGAAGCTAAGACCTCAAGATCAATAGGACAGAAAGGATTGCTAAATATTTAAATATTTGAAATTTAGGAAAATATATATGGAAATAGACTGTTGTAATAAAGTGTGTATTATATAATTATGCATTTTGGGTTTTTAAAGGGATGGACATGTGTGGGATCATTTATTATTAATTAATGTTAATATATTGTATTTGTAATTTAGTTTCAATTAAGGTTGATATGTTATTAAGGGATTTATTGAGGGTGAGTTAATGTTGTTTATTTTGAAGTAATTAACCATTTTTATGAAATAGGGTGTAATGTGAATTACACATATGATATATTTAATTATGAATGATAATTTAAAGGAATTGAAGTATGATGAAGTCAGAATAATATCTATAATGTTATAGGTGGATAGTTATTTTGATTTAGTGCCTGCATTTGATATATATATATATATTGGGTATGGATTTATATGATATATTAGATGATGTGTAATTTTTTTCTTCCAAATTATGAAATCTTTATATTTAATATATATATATTTTTTTTTTAAATTATAAAATTTTATAAAAAGTTTTATTTGCAATTATTATATTATTTTTATGGTATGCAATGATGTGAAGGGAAAATATTTTTACAGATAAGGTCAGCCATGTTGATGGGTATGCCTTGAGGTGAGAATATTGTTTAGTTTGCATACTGGAGAAAGTTTTTTTTTGTGTAAATTTTTTTTTGTAAATTTATGCTGCATATTACATTTTTTTTATCTTTGTAATAATTTTATAGCATATCACATTTTACTATTTATTTTATGTACATTTTTTTTAAAGAAAAGACTCAAATTATTTTATATTGTCAAGGTGTATTAAAAATTCTTTACATATATACCATATAGCCCATTATATTCTCAATTTTTGTTATGTTGCATTCTACATTTTTGTGAATTTGTGCTCATTGTGATGGCAGAGGTAGGTAGAAATGGTATATTTTTCTTAGGATACTGAGTAATTCCTAGATGGGAAATATTGTATTTTCTACGTATTATATATTTTTCCTCCATATAAAATATTAAATTTATTTCTATTCATATGTTTTGTAATTTTATTTAAAATCTTTGTTTGGCAAAGTTTCGCAATTATTTTTAATACCTAAAGATGGATTTTTCTATTCATTTTAGGAGATATTTATAAAAATGTAGCTTTGTTTTTTTCACATGACAGAAGGAAAATTACATGTGTTGAAATTGCATTTCACACATAGACCATGTGTTCACATTACATTATTATATGTAAAATCATTATTTCTTAATTACCATGAATCATACCCAAATAATGTATATTAATATTTCCCAAATGTCTTAAAATGAATGAATTATTATGTTTTGCTGATATTACATTGTCCATATTAATGTTCCATAGATTATAAATGCAGATACCCCAATGTACATGTCATTATTGGTAATATGTGTTTTCGCGATTATATAAATCATCATAAGAAGACGATTCGACAAATTTCCTGAACGTCTTCAAGGCGTCCAGATACAATTCAAAGGGGCCATTTGAAACAATTCAGGGTCGATACAATTCAAAGAGTGATTCGATACAACACCACCACAGAGAAAGGGACGCTGGGCTTGCGAAGGGTGGGCGTGTTGTAGCTGTTGAAAAAAAGAATAAATAAATTTAATATAATACATCAAATGTCAGTTATTTTCTGACAGGGGAATTAGTTTTTTCCTGGTGGAGGGGAAGAAAACGAAAACATCACATGGGTTATTGTTAAAGAAAAGTCTTTTGTTAGAGATTTGGAGTGAAGATATTGGGTCAATTGGAGAAGATGTCAGCTAGGAGGAACAAAGAATGGACCTGTGGGGATGAAGAATATATGAAGCTGGATAATTATTATTTATAATCTTTATATTTTTTTTTAATGGGTAGATAAATATAATTATGAATAAATATGGTTTTTAGCATATAGATTTGATTTATATATTTCTATTGAAATTTGTAGTTTTAGATAGAAACATTCATTATGATCTCCAAAATTTGATGAAATTTCACGACCTAAAATTTAAAAAATTTAATTGCATCAGGGTCAAATTTTCCTAAAGTAGTTGTAACAAATGGGATAAAAGTAATATCGGTTAAAAATGAGTATTTTATTAAATCGCGTCTCCATTTGGCTGATGCATTCTGGAAGGGAATTGCTGGCTGCAAATACATCTATTTATGTATAATCCCAAGCTAATTCTTTTCCTTACTGGAATGGTATATGAGCTATGCCATCTGAGTTAAGTCCCATGGGTTCCAGGGTAGATGGGTACCCTGCTTTATTAAGGATTTTACCTAATAAATAATTAATTGTTTGATGACGAATACTTCTCCCTTTGCAGAATTTGAAAGGGAGGGGATGGTAGCCATTCTACTCAACTACTTCTTTACATAAAATACAAGCTTAGGGAAAAACAAATGGGCATCCTAATCGTAAACCTGCGCTATGCGGAGTTCCTCGACACTAAGACGAAATCCTAAATTCGAACTAGGAAAGTACTTTCGCAACCAACCTTCACCCCAAAAAGAGTTGAAAAGAGGTTGGTAGGCTATTTTTGATCCGGGAACAGATTATTCTTGATGTAATCCTGTTAAAGACAGATCCAATAACTAATGGGCGTCTCTTAAGTGCGATTAATTTAGCCCCAAATAATATCGGAAATTGGCCAATAAACTACTACTTTCTATAATGGCAGGTTTAATGAAATCCTGTAAAAAAATAGGGCGAATTCCATCAAGTCCCCTAACAAAATTTTTTTAAAAAGACTTTATGGGTTTGCTGAAGATTGAAAA